TGAAACAGCAGAGGTTCCCACTTCCCCAGGAAGACTGGACACAGAAAAGATGAAACACATCCAGACTCCACGGAAGAGGCCAAGTGCCTCAGCTCAGGAGGACGTGGGCTTGTACATGGAACGTCTTAGCAATGTCCTAACAAACTATTAGAACTGCCACATTTATAAAGGTTGCAGAGTACCTCTAATTCTAACAAGAGAATTAGAAACAGGTATGCTGAAAATGTCAACACATTGTTGAAAGAAGCCACAGAAGAGCTATAAGAATGCAAAGCTGTGCACTCAGAGGATGGCATGATTATGAGAGCAGCACTCCCCAGACTATCTGCAGGCGACGGAATCTCCGCAGGAATGTCAGACACTTTTCTGTGAAAGAGTCACAAACTTTCTAAAACTCTCATGGAAATGCAAGAGATGAAGATTAGCCAAAAACAAAATCAGCTGAGTGTGGTCACGCACTGTTATGTTCATTCAAACACGGAAGGATTGAGAGCTTGAGGCTAGCCTGAGCTACATAACAAAATTGTCTTAAAACCCAAGGGCTAGCTGGGAGTATGGTGGCACACTGTTAGTCTCAGTACTTGAGAGGCAGAAGCATGTGGACCTATGTGAGTCTGAGGCTAGCCTGGTCTATATAGTGACATCCAGGCCATCCAGGAAAAATAGTAAGGCCCAGTCTAAGAGAGATAAATAAACCAATTATGCTAATTTTGTTTTGTTTTGGGGACAGGGTTTCTCTGTGTAGACCAGGCTGTCCTGGAATATCCTCTGTAGAAGATGCTGGCTTTGAACTCAAAGATCTGCCTGCCTCTGCCTCCCAAGTACTGGAATTGAAGGTAGGCAACACCATGGTCCAGCTTAATTAAACTAATTTTAATAGGAAAACCAAAACAAATACTAAAGAAACAAAAACTAAGGACCAGGATGTGGCTCAGTGATAGAGCACCTGGCTGCTGGAGAAATGGTTCAGCAGCCACAGCACTTGCTGCTCTCACAGAGAACTGGGGTTTGGTCCCCAGCACCTACATCCTGGCTCAGAACCATCTGTAATTCCAGTTCCAGGGGATCCAAAGCCCTTTGATGCCTGCGGGCAGCAGGTAAGCAATGGCACATACATAAATATATGTGCCGGCAAAACACTCATACACACAGGATAAATTAAAAAGTGAGCAAGAAAGAATATTTTCTAAGTATGAACAAAGTTCTAAGCTCCACCCCTGGAACTGAAAATAAACCTATAAATAACAGGAAAAGGAAAAAAAAAAATGGAAGAAAGTTTCAGGCTAGTCTCCTGATTTTGTTGTTTATTTGTCTGTCTTTGCAGTACTGAGAATCAAACTCAGGGTCTTAATACACACTAGCCTAGCACTCTGCCTGTGAGCCCACCACCTCTCAGCGCAATCCTCCCAGATTTAGGCTTGCTATGAAGCTACAGCGGCCGTGAGTACAGTGCTGGCACCAGAGAGGCATCGGATCAATACAGCACAATTGGAGTACAGAAATAAAACTGCATACTTATGGCCATTAATGTTGACAGCGGTGCCAAGACAACTCAGGGAGAGAGGAGTCTTTTCAGCAAATGGCGCTGGAACAACGGGCTACCCAAATTCAAAGGACTCAAATTGGATCTTTTCCTTATACCATAAACAAAAATTGACTCAAAATGGATCACAGACCTAACAATGATAGTTAAAACTGCAAAACACTTAGAAGAAAACAAAGAAGTGTCAGATTAGGCACCGGTTCCCTGGATGTAATACCAAAGGCATGAGCAACAATGGATAGACAGATTGAACTTCATCAAAATTAAAACCATTTTGTGCTGT